GCACTTAAGAATAGCGCGGTCACCATGTAACTCTATGGGAACCCGAAGTTACGAACACTTCGAGTTACGGACCAAGTGCTGGTCCGTAACTCGGGGAATGGCTCAGCCGGTCCCTGAGTTACGACCACCTCCACTAACGACCATCCACACGTATCACCAAAGTGGTCGTAAATGCAGATCCGAGTTACAAACAGCGATCCGCACTTAAGAATAGCGCGGTCACCATGTAACTCTATGGGAACCCGAAGTTACGAACACTTCGAGTTACGGACCAAGTGCTGGTCCGTAACTCGGGGAATGGCTGTATACTAAATGTAACAATGTTAAGTTAATTAACTAGTCACTCCTGTTTTTTTAAATTTTCATGTTGCATGCCATTTTCATAAGGGTGTATTAATTACTTCAAACTTTAGTTTTACATCAATGAAGTTTGAGAGTAAAGTACACAGAGCCACCCTGTCCACAGGATGGTTCAGAGCGGCCACCCCATACCCCTATGTTGGCTATCCCAACCATCCAATGGACAAGGCAGCCTGGGAGGGAGGGGGGCAGGGGCTAGCAGCAGGGATAAGCTCCCCTGCATTCACTGCAGTGATGGGAACTATGGGAAATGGAGTGATGCAGCAGTATGCTCCACTCTGCCATCATCCCCCAGTCTGTGGTTCTCTACTTCACCATGGTGGCAGGAAGTAGAGTGACCTGGCCCCAGCCTACTGCACTCCCCAAGTGACGTGGGCTTCCCGTTGTTGTGGTGAAATGGAGCAGCCTGGCTGGAGATGATAGCTGACTGGAACAGGCTGCTGCATTGCTTTGGCTCCCCCTGTTTCCGTTCAAGCCTGGTGCCAGGCCCCCCGGTAATCTCCTATCCCTCAGGGGAGGAGGCTTCGGGGAAGGAATGCAATGGGGGGGTGCAGTGGGGACAGGGCCAAGAATGGACATGGAGCGGAGGTTGATCCAGACTCCTGACTCCACACTACCCTAGGAACAAGACCTGACAGAATGGCTCCATTTCTATTCCCAGTTAAAAAGGAACAATTTTCCTGTACCAACAAGAGAAATTAGCTGTGGGTGCTCTGCTAATTAGCTGGGTAGCATCTGAATCTCTCCTGAGTGGTTGCACAAGTGTACAGCTTACAGAGAACACTGGTCACAGGAATAAATTTATTTCCTCCCCCTTCACATACAAAATGCCTTCACCAAGTTAGTGATGTGAGGCCCTGAATGGTAATACTGAGTCCTCTAATAGTGACAGTTCACCATCCAATACCTTGGGACACAAGGTGTTGGCAACATGAGGCTTACAAAAAACAAAAACAAACACACACACAACCACAACCACAACAATTCATACAAAAGTATTTTTTGAGAAATAATACAATTTAATTTAGTCTAAATGCATTTGGTAATTTAGCATGCCAAAACCACAGTTTCCCAGAGCGAAGGGCACATGAGGCTGTTTTTTGATTATGGCACATCGATTTCATAGCCAAGAGTATACAAGAGAGCAATGTGGCCAGCATCAGATCGAATTGTCTTTGACTGCCTTAATCCAATTGATAGGATGCCTCTTTACAGTGGGGTGAACTGGTGGTGGCATTTTGGCATAAGAGCAAGTGAGATTTGAACCCACAAGTTGTAGCAATATAACCTACATCTTTAACAGCTCAGAGGCCTCATCTCCAAATAAACTATTTTCATTCATTGATCTCCAGCTTTAAGTCATCTGTCTTCCTCCTAGTTTACAATTTGTAAAGTAGGTCTGCAATGACAACACTGAGTGACTTCGCAGGATTTATACTTGTCTGTACCAGTATCCAAGTATAATTAATGGGCAATGCTGTAGCTGCCTCATATAATTTCCCCTGCTTTAATGTTTTAGTGCATTAAGTCCTTCCGAAAGATACAGGTCTGACAGTTCTAAAAACTAGTCAATTTATTTACAGAGCAGGCTCAGACAAAGTTCTCTGCAGGGCTCTGCCAATGAGCATCAAATATGACTCAGACAGCAATTCTCAAACTGTAGCTTGGGACCCCAAAGTATGTCACAACCCATTTTAATTGGGTAACCATGGCTGGTATTAGACGCAACTGAGACCCACAATCCAAGGTGGAAGTCCAAGCCCCACAGTCCAGAACTGAATTCAAAGCCAAAAGGTTTCAGGCCTGTGTGATGGGACCCAGGTTTCTCCCCCATGCAGGACTTTAGCCCTGAGGCTCTGGCTTCAACCCACATGGGTGACAGAGCTCAGGCTTTGGTCCCCTTTCTTGGAGTTGTTTAGTAATTTTACTATCAGAAGTGGGTTTGAGGACCACTGGACTAGAATTACCTCTAAGGCTGAAAATGTACAGGCAGGCCCTGGGTTACGTCAGTCCGACTTACGTCGGACCCCTAGTTACGAACCAGGGGGGGCCCCCC